CCTACTGTGCAGATCTAGGTATTCCTGCACTCTATTTCTTCTTTCAACCCATAATGCGAATAAACAACGAATCAGAAGTTCTAATGAATCTAGAGCATGATTGAATTTAGTGGTGTGCTTTTGAAGATGGCATCACTGCCACTGCTCCGCTCCACCGCACTTTTTATATAATATTAACAAAACTGGAAACATAGTGTTTTTGCATTTTATGAGTGACTGTAGTTTTATAGGAAGCGAAATCAGCAGGAGGCGACATTAAGGACCCGTATGATTGGGAGAAAACCGTCGAACGTACTGTTACCGCAACCGTAAAGGCGCCGTAAATGCCGAGCCATAGAAACAACTTTAAATACTTTAAAACGTGACTGAATCACCGAACTGTTTTTGGATAACCCTGTATTCATATGGTTTTTTCTTACTCAATATTTTTCCCACTGCCCTAACAGCTATAATATTTCTCCAATAATAGAGAGTGTTACCTTTAGATCCAGTTACGCTGACAACTACCGGATGCTTTAAATCAAAATAAATTTTTTATTTAACTGTTTTATTAGCACTATTAGAATTATATAATCACGTATGCGAGGATGCTGAGTGATATGTAAACATTCGACATCAGAAAGGAGTTGAACCCATGTTTCACCCTAGATGGCCTTATGTTACCATCACTGCACTGAGATCCTCGTTTCCTCCTATTTAACACTTCTAATTAGAACTGGCAATGAGCCTCGATAGCTCAGTTGGGAGAGCGTTAGACTGAAGATCTAAAGGTCACCAGTTCGATCCTGGTTCGGGGCAATCGTTTTGTTCACAGAGCATGCACCACTTTATGTTCTTTGCGCATGTTTTAGCACGAAATAGCCCAGGGAACAAACAAATCTCATAATTTAGGATACAGAATAGTTTTACACTCCGAGATTGAAGGATGAGAGAAGAAATAGAGGATGAAGCATTTGAGACAGATCAATTAGCGTAGGGTGTGCCATGCAGTGGACTTTATTGAATTCGTTGTAAATGACTGAATGATCATCATGGCCTCACTACATATGGGCATTAGACTAACATGTAGCTGATAGATAATTCTATTCAGCCAGCGTTTCGCAACATCGTCTTTACTAAAATCGCATTAATTGGAGTCGTTGATCTACACACAGATAGTCGTTTGCATTGGAGTGCACAAATCGAACGGTATCTGAGGCGGCACAACACCATGTGAGCGAGTGCTTGCTAAATATGGTTGAATAGTTCTGACGTTTAAATGCAGTGTGACAAACTGATCAAGTGATGACAGCCCGAGTCAAAAAATTAGAATCGGGGAGTGGCTTTACTTATACCACGAAATCTGATCACACTAAGGTGAGGTGTTTTCAACTGGTTGTGGAGAAAAAACAGTCACCGATGGCCTCTAATGTTTGTAATAATAGAAAATTTAGCTTTCAAATGTGAAAATAGAAAATTAATATTTTGCTAATAATTATAACAACGAGTGAACGCTAAAATCTAGCTTATTCAGATACTATTAACGTGTGTCCCACTAGTAACAGCTGCACTGCAGATCATTTTCAGCCGTAAACCCAAGAAATCTTAACTTTAGGGTTTTTTGTGCGATGCTAGCAAGCGCTGTAGAGTTTTCAAATATCAGATGTTCGATTTTCTTGTCACCTTTAATTTCTTCCGATCTAATCACAAGATAAGTCAGATCAACTCTCGTCAAATTCCATCTTGTCATGTGGCTTGTCAATGATGGACTTCGACTGGTACCCATGGAAGTGAACACAATTACAGTGACTAATAAGAAACAATTTCTTGATGAAATTCTCTGCGGCCATAACACTGTAACGCCAATAAATAAAGTTCTGTGACAAGCTCGTAGTAACTTGAGGATCCGGCGAATTCTATTTCGCTGTAAAGATTATTGTTAAACTGCGAGACATGCATAGTACATTTTTCTATTAAAGCACCTATTTAGAAATACTAATATTGGATAAGACGATATGTCTATTCAGGATAAAAAAGATAATGTTTGACTCAAGCTTCACTGGTATCATAAACTTCATCCAGATACAGTTCAATCACTGAATCACTGAAAGTTGGTAGTAAAACTTTGTTTGCCGCCCGGACCACAGCCAGCAGGAAATGCGCCGTCCGCACAGGAATGTAGTGACTATTAGTACCATAAAACAAAACCGGAACGTCTTGACTATACAGTGTGCGTTGGCTACACGTTCGACAATGATCTTGATTCTCATATTTCGTGCAGCACTAGAGACCTGCATCTATTACTTTCGAAATAGAGATGATTATCCCACATATAGATTGTTTGAGGCCGGTGAAACTAACCTCAAAAGTTGACGGATTCATAGTTGAACACAATTAACTATGTCTTCAAGCAAAAGACGTCATCATTTGAAAAAAAAAGGCGGTTGAAAGTGTTAAAGGGAACTCTTAAGAGCTTATGAAAATTACAAAAGTAACGAACTTTCCAGTTCCTCAGACAACTAGTTTCTTACTTGCATCTCTTCTGACAACAACCCACAACACTCATGACAACCCATGACTTTTTATCCGGGAATATCGAACAACGGGCGACTAAATTCGGCTTAAGTAATATCCGCTCTCTTCAGATCACAACTTTCTCAAGACCTTCTTCAAATGTATAACTTCACTGCTACGACATTCAGCCAGCTATTAAAACCATTGTAAAATCCAATGACTAGAGCTCTGACCTACACAGACGATGATGGACAGCGGAATAGTCATCGTAATTTTCTCAGTTGCCTACTGAACAAAATCGACTGAATGTGTTCATTTCGGTCGTTAAAATTGTTGATATCCAATATTTTTGAATGAAAATCACTATAATATTAGCAATCTCTGTTGGCATATGCTTTTTAAGTAAAATTTTCAGCAGAATTTCTTGTTCCTAAGAAACGATGAGCGAAGTACAGAAAAGGAAATAAAAGAATTAATTACAGCTTTCTGAACCAATTGATTGCCATAGTAATATTAGTCCATACATTTCACCCTAGGTAATTTGGCATCACCACATATCTCAATGTTTGAGGCTCAAATTCTCAGGAACGCTGACATCTCTATGTTCGAAAAATATGGAAAAACTACAAAATGTCAAATGAATTTTCTATTTGTGAAATTTGCTCATGAAGCATCTTTTACCCTGTAATGTTAGTTATAAGAAAAATATTGAGTGAAATGCGAAAATCTGATACTCAGGTAGGAGATGAGCACGGGTTTCACGTCTTCCGGGAATGTGTGACACGACGACACCACCGAGGCCATTAACCAGATATTAATCGTACTGCAATACAAGGTTACGAAATGGGAGGTATAGTTAGTATCTTCTCTATACATTAAAGTGGTCAGTCCGAAAATGACCTAATAGCAGACAATCCCAGCATTCGAGTTGAGAAGAGGCTCATCGTTTCTTTTACCATTGCTTTGTTGTATTCTTTGTTGATTAAGCCAATGGCTCAAAGTTGATGACCATAAATAGAGGTGAAAACGTTAAAACATTAATTAAATGAATTCATTGCTATCAACCTCCTGTTCCTGATTCAATCAATAACAAATATACGGTGGACTAGTGATGTCAAAACTGAAGGTGTGTCGGTTTACAATTTACTCTTTTTTGAGTAGGAAATTGCCTAATATTAAATGATGCACAGAAACTGTTTCAGGAACAATGATACTGTTCACAAAAGAGGCAACAAAAACGGTGCACCAACCGGGAGTCGAACCCGGGTCTGTACCTTGGGAGGGTACAATGATACCGCTACACCATTGGTGCTTAGTCAAGAACTGAGCGTTTTCTCCATATTTGCTGAACATATTTCTCAACACTGATAGAAATAGTATCTCTAGCAATGGGATATTACGTCGAACAACCTAGGTAACAGGTTTGAATGTTCAGGTAGATCATTTCTAGCAATCACAATAAAACGTAAGTTTTACATTTTGATTTTTCAACCTCAGTAATGCGTGACTATTGCTTCCAGTATCTTTTAAATACCAGTAGCTCAGTTAGCTGTAGAATCTTTATGAGTAAAATTTCATAATATGATTTTCAAACACCTCAGAATAGGAGCTATTCTGTCTTGATTAAATAATGTCGAACTACTCAGCCAGCAGTTTGAGTGGTCGATTAGACCACTACTAGGAACCACATCATATAATATGTAAACTTTGGGAATTTTAGTTTAAACTCATTAATCTTCGTTTCGATTTTTTAACACCATAATCGACTCCGCACGTCCCAACTTTGACATCTTCCATAATCGAAGGTTTCTCTTTTCGATTCGAAATCATTTCTAAGCTTTCGCCATCCTTTGATGGCACCGTGTTCTTACATACACCGCCCCCTGTATACTGTACATATAAAATTCTTGTGTGTAAAGAAAATGCATTCATTCACTTATACGATTTTGCTGCTGCTAGCGTTCAATCATTTGTGAAGAAGCTCTATGAAGCATATTACAATATAAGGAATATAGTTTCAAAATTTTTGTTCATGGCGATATCGAAAAGTGAAAAGTAGGGAACGAAAATTAGAAAACACTGAAAGTCTTTAGAAAGTGACGCTGCCCACTGCATGCGGTGTCATTTCGCCGATAACTTCCAACAATTTTTCAATATTAAGATGCATGAGCGATGTCTGCAGTAAAGAAGAAACTTTCCTACGTTTTGGAGAGTGGCAGTGAATAATTGTGGCGAAACTGTATCGCTTTGTCGAATCCCTCTCCTTACGTCGATGGTACTAGTGTTGCAGAACAGCGATATTTTTGGTTGTGAAATCTCTATATAGCTCATCAAGGATCGTTATGCATCGACTAGGGATGCACTGGTTATCCAGAGCCTTAATGACTGCTTTTGTTTCCAATGAATCAAAGACTAATACTCGAAAATTCTAACATTTTTACTGCTTTTTTCGCAGTGTCATAATGTCACGTGTATACCATGGACAATTGTATGGTGAGCAAAAACACGGCCTCAGGCGGAATCAAACCCGCGTTTCGCCATATGTACGAACGCGTGTTCCACCACTACACCACCGAGGCAGATTTGCCTGACGACTCATTGGAAGACTTTCTACGGATTGACGAAAGTGACACAGAGTGATATTTTGTTCTTTCTTGAATTTCGTTGAGTCTTGTGATCGTTTGGTTATGGTCTATGGTACTAATTCCTTTTCAAAACCCTGCTTGTTCGCATGGCTTTCGTTCATTCAGTGCTCTGTGAATCCTCCTTAGGATGACTCGAGTGAAGAGTTCAACACAATGGACATGCAGTGAAAATCTCCCTTTCTGAACAGCGATACGGCCCTGCTGGTTTTCCACTGATTGGGCACCGTGCGCTCTGACAGGTAGCAAGTGAGGAGCCGTGCAAGAGTGCTGATGAAAGCTAGCGGTAGATTCCTCAGGCGTTTATGGTTCAATCGTGTTTGGACCGTGTGTTGTTGTATTCGTCTCCGGCGATAGTACGTGCCGGATTTTTGAAAGGAGAACCGGTGGAAAGGCAGATTTATTCTCTTTCAATTCATACGACGGTATAAGGACTTGCCTGATGAAGGGCCCCAAGTGATAGTCGTGAATGATTTTCTTCATTGCCCTTCTGAAAGCTGCATGTGCCTCGATAGGGCGTCGGAGTGCGATATTCTTGGTCTTGTAATTGGCGAAGCTTCGCTGGGCTTTGCGAATGCTCTTCCCACCTTCTGCAGCTTCTGCCATGATTGCTGCTCGTCTCTCTTTTGGAACTTCTCTTATCGCTCCTCTGCAGCGTTTCGCAAATTCGGACGTAAGGTTTCGTTTGCCTATGGCTTGTGCAGCTCCACGTGGACATATGAATTTGAGTGTTTGGGATGCAAGCGTCTCTTCCTGACTTTAGGACTCCCGATTTTCATATCGATAACGTGAGGATATTCAACGGGGCAATCGTAATCTTTGTCGAAGTTGTCAACTACGATAGCTTCTCAAGAGCCCACTAACGATCTGAATACATATTATACCTTTAATTCGAGTGTTTTATTAAGACTACGTTCAAATTTCTATAGATTTCTTCACTACTGTTTGAGCCATCATGTCATGTGGTCTGGTAATGGGCTCTTGTACATCCCGATACACTTTCTGCGATATTACAGTTTCGTTAGTAGGGCAGAACCCGTCGTCTTTCTATCTTTTTTTAGGCGATCCTCTCGGGAGCATACTCTTTCTACAGGGAGGTATCAAAGACGAATGCTTTAACTGTAAGTCGAGTGAAATTATCACCGATCTTACAACGTTGTACGCTCGATTGCCCTCTGGCTTGGCTCGGCATGTTGTCTCAATTAATAATGAAGAGATCCATTAAAATTTGAACGTGGTCCTAATAAAACACTCGAAATAAAGTAATATAATATGAAAAAAATGCTTAACATGTTAATGCAGTGTTAGCCAAAGCTTCCCACACCTCATTACCATTGTCATTTCTGGAAATTCCATTCTGTGTTGTGAGGACCGGTGCTTAATTGACATTGAAGCTGTGATAACAACTATAAATATATCTAATAGCCAAAAGCAACTCATACCTTTGAACGCTCTTGACTTTGTGACTCTTCCAAACGGAAAAAAGCGACAAAAATTGGTAATAAATTAATATCTGGCTTTTCTCTAAGTGCAGATTCACTATGAGTCTGCTTCACAATGATGCTATAAGACTAATTTAGTCGGCTAACGCTGCAACGCGCTTCGTTTTCTTCAAAGCAAACTGATTCGAGTTGATGCTTTGTAGTCGTCCGTCGTCATTGTAGTCTTTGTCTTCGTTCTCGTTTGATTCGCATCTTTTATGAAGGAACACCGCAATGGAAAGATCACGCGGCACTGTTTATTTGACACAGGACGGTTGTTGTTGGCGGTAAGTTTCTAATGATAATACTTGTTTTTCACTGGACACATCATCCTGCAGTAGAGTGTAATTAATGGCTCGCAAAAGCTTCATAACCAATTTGATTTAAACGAGACTAAAGGCGAAGACTATAACGATGACGAACGAATGTGAATCATTGGATCAAATCAATCGGCTTTGAGCAAACCAAACTCGTAGGCGAATAAATTGGTTTGATAAGCGCGCTCCGTGACGCGGGTTGTTCATCTAAGAATAGATGATCGACAAAACTGAAATATGTGGGCAGCTCTGACCTGAATAGGTTGACGTCACCACAGAAGATCAACTCAGACTTTTTCGATAAGAGACAATAAATGCCCAATGATGGAGTGATGTGGCAAGTTTTAGCGTCAAGGGGGCTCGAACCCATACCTCACTCTATCCGCGAGCGCGCGCGTCAACCCGTTGCACTACTGATGGCCGTTTTGCCCACCACTCTTTCTACGCCACAACTCGTTATCCGTCAACAACCAACCGTCCACGGTCTGGCGTGGGCAGTGATTATGGCTAATGAACCCACTTATGCCAATAGACATTGGGTTTCAGTAATTACGGAATCCAATATCTGTCAGCACAAGTTTTATTTTTGTTGTTTCAGCATAATCATGGCTCCATTTTGAAAAATGAAATACACCTTTCAAATTTTTCTGATTAATGCTATCGAACAGTCATTGAAACTTTAGAAGGCTAGAAAATTGCGTTTTTCCTGAGGGGGTCGAAACAGGGTACGAACAACGGAGAAATGCCAGAAAAACAAACGATTTTCTGTAACAATGCTTTTATAGGATTTTTTTCTGAAAGCCATACGTACGTTTCGACGGTGTTGTTCGCTTCATCAGTGGCCCACGCCTCACACTGAGCCCTACTTTATACCAGTGGTGAGGAGAGGTTGTGGCGATAAAACGTTATACTGTATTATCACCATTTTTATAGTCTATGGATTACGGTTGGCAGTAAATAAGTGGAAATCCAGTCCATTAACTGTTTCTAAACCTCGCTGTATATAGTCTATAAGAATATTCAAAGCCTTTGCGAGGTTGTTGTGTGAGAGCCATGCGGAAGAGAGTTTTTTTTTTTTTTGAAAAGCAAATACATCATTGGAATCAAAGAGATTTGAACTATCGAATGGCTACTAAAAATGTGAGGGAAAAGCTCTGTTCAGCTAGAAATATTTGAATGAGGAACGCAATTGATTCATGGTGTTAGAGCGTAATAGTGAACCCATGGTAAAATATTTTACATCTTTGGAATTCTTGAGATTTGTGCTATTAAGTATTTGTCAACAGTGAGGAAAAAGCAAAAGAAGAATTTTTTTTCAAAGGATCATAAAGAGATGAGTAAGACGAAGATATTGTTCAAAATTTGCAGAACCAAATCTTTTATTTTTTTGGTTGCTACAGTGCAATAAGAGGCTATTTTGAAGAACCAAATGCCACATTAGAATCCTTGAGACTTGAAATATCACTGTTTACTAACAGTCAAAATAAATAGCTTTGTTCAGCAAAGAATGTTTGATTGGAAAATATAATTTTATTTTGCTGTTCTAGCTTAATATTGAAGTCTATTCGAAAATAAAATACACCGCTCAAATATTTTGATTTGAGCTATCGAATGACTGCTAAGACTATGAAAACAACAGGAAATAGATTTTTCTCAAGACCTCCCGACGTCGTGGATAGGAGAATCAAACGCGAACCAAGGGCGACCGTGTGCTTCTTAGAGATGCAGGTGGATCAAAAGGATAAGGTCCCTGCTTTCGCAGCGGCGATTTGACGAAAGTCTTCTCCTACAAGTCAAATCGACCTAAAGAATGCAGTCTAGCAGCAGAGATCTACATGGGATACGGTTAGTAGTCGCCTCCTACAAATAAGCTTCTCCCGTCCCTCCGAGAGAGAGACCGGCAAACTACTCGTGAGTACACAGTCCCCACTGTCAAAGCCTAGCAAGCTATACGCTGGGTATCAAAATGTTAAGAGCAGCAACAAATATGGACCTCATTTACCTGGCCCCAAGGAAGCCCCCACTACGGCAGCGTCGTGTAGGACGAGTGCGGAGAGGCTGCTGAAATCTTAGGGTCAGACTAGGCTGCCAAAATCGAAACGAACTAAAATGACGATCTTTAACTATATTGCACCAACACTTGCATACGAATCCGTTGGAAAAGATCTATCGATGCAAACAAGAAGAATAGGGTCGACGCCACTGGCCTGACTGAAATGAGAACACGTCATCCTTTTCACCTTATTTATAACACCAGAGAAGAAATGTTTCGTGGAAAATGAGATCGCACGCGTATTGGAGGCGTTGGCGTCCTCGTCAAAACCAAATTTGACCGTGAACATCGATTCAGTTGAGCAACTAACAACCCGTATAGGACGACTGCGGTTCTGACGATGTGTATCAATGCCGGCTTTGACCATCTTCATTGCTTACGCACCAACATCAAGCTATGACGAAGACGGAGTCGCAGCGTTCTACATGGTTTTCGAAAATTTCTTCAGAAAAGACAATACGATCTTGAGATTCATTGTTAGAGATTTTAACGGAAATTAGGACCTGAAAAAGCGTCTGGAGAACATCACATGGGGACTCACGGGCTAGAATGGAATGAGAAAGGTGAGAGGCTATCTGGGTTTATCACGATGGCCAAATCCCATTCATGTTAACTCACATTTCCAAAACCTCACTCTAAACTATGGACGTAGGAGTCTCCCAATGGAGATTACCATAACGAAATAGACCACATCTTAGTGAATCGCAGCCTTTGCCTAACCGATCTCTCTGTTGCTCCTAAGTTCTACAATGAATCAGCCTGTCGTCTCTTTCGCGCAACCTTCCGTTTTTGGCGAAGAGGAGAGAAAGTGGCCAGATTCAAATAACGAAGTTCTAGAACTACATTAAACTGGGATGTATTCATGTAATTAGTCGGTTTTTGGGAAGATACCGTTATAGACAACATCAACGAACAATACGACTGCCTCGTTGAATATCTTCACATCAGTGCTATGAAAGCCGCGATTCTCAATGTCACCAAGAAACGCTTGTCTTCGCAAACACTCGAGCTTATACGTCAACGTGAAATCGCACGAGCTACAGGCAACCGAACCCTCACGTCCGGAATTGCGAAACGCTGCAGAGA